AATCTCCACTCTCTCTGGTTCAACAGATTTGCGGGATTTGGCCATAGAAGCCGACGGGAGGAAGAAAGTTACCCTCACAGATAGCGAGCTCCCGTTATTGCTTCTGAATCAAAATGTCGTAACTTCCCACCGGACAAGAAAGGGAGTTGTGGAAGGAGCAAAGTCGGACGGGAATACAGGAGGCGGCGAGCTCTCGTTCTTTCGTCCGATCAAAATGTCGTAACTTCCGATCCCGCAGGAATTTCGCCAAAGGAGCGGAGTCGGACAACCAGGAAGGAGCCGAAGAAGCAAAGGGAGAAAGTTGTCTTCACTGCCGGCGAGCACCCGTTGTTGCTTGCGATCAAATTGTCGTAACTTCCGGTCCGACAGCAGGGAAAGGCAGCGTCGGAGGTGCGGCACCGAAGGAGGAGCAGAGTCGACCGACCGCGATGGAGTTGCAGCGGCGATCTCCCGTCGAGCTTCCGATTAAACTGTCGTATCCTCCGATTCGACAGGAAATGTCGTCGAAGGAGCGGTCGGATAGCAAGAAGTAGCCGGAGAAGCGCTCGAGAAGGAGAAAGTTACCCTCGCAGCTAGTGAGCTCGCGTTTTTGCCGCCGATCAAAGTGTCGTAGCTTCCTGTCCGACCGGAAAGGAGAGAGTCGAGAGCGAGACAGTGAGAGCGGGATCGTGAGAGAGCAGAGTCGCATAAGAGGCCGAAGGCCTCGCTGCTTTTTGGGCTTTTAACGACTCGAATGAGTCGTGCCAGCGATCGTGGGGAGAAATGACACGAAGCGTGGCCTCGACGTGCGAAATGCGGCGACGACATGCGACTGCGTGGGATGGCAGGTATGTTGATTTAAATTTAAATTTACTTTTTTTTTTCTCTCTTTTGTTTTATACAGCAGGTCAACACATATTCATCCTTTAACAAACTAAGAAAGGAAGGAGGAACATTATTCAAACTAATATCATCCCAAAGAAAATTACTAAAAAGAGCAAAACTAACATACTAATCCGCTAACTTATTACAATTCCTATAAGTACAATTAAAAATAACATGATTGAAACCCTTGAGAAAAGAAAGATCATTCATCCAATATCCATCCTTTGAAGCATCCATCTTCCTTAATGAATCTTGAAGAAATTTGATAATGTTATAATTATCACCTTCAATGATAATCCCCTTATATTTCAACATCCAATCTTGTGTAACATTCCGAATAGATTGATAACTAAACGAGATACATCCCAATGAACACAAGTTTGCCCAAAGGCTAGAAGAAATCTTCCTTTACAGTCATGGAAGACACCACCAACTCCAGATTTGTACGACGGTAATAAAGAAGCATCAACATTCACTTTGATCCAATCGGGAGGAGGGTGCCAATGATTCCCCAACAGCCTACATGGCTGATAAACACTTGTGTACCAATATTTTCACATAATATATTATGACCTATTGTGCATAATTCCTATTTAATGATTATCTACCGTTTTTCTTACTTTCACTTGTTGGTGCATATGGAGGTCTTCCTTTTCTTATACTTGGCTATTGTTTTAGAGTTGCATATCTTTATGGACATCGTAGCTCACCATATGGTTAGTCTGATTGTTGCAAGAAAAGGGAAGGAGAATGTTGAACCAGAATAGTGTCAGGTTTTTTTTTTTTTGGGTCAATGTATGAAATATCTTTTTTGAGGTTAGTAGTTTGTTATTAGTTACCTATTTTGGTTTCCTGTAGTTGCTCTGTAAAAGAAAGTTTCTAGAAATGATATTTTGACAGCTTCCTCTTATGATTGATGTTTTATATTATGGTCTCTTTCAACACTTGTTCTGCATTTAAATTTCAGATATTATATTGATTGTAAAATAGTAATGTAAGTGATCGACAACCTCCTCTTTGTTGCATTCTGCGTCAACTGTTAGAGTAGGGTTAATGTGGGGCTTGACACTCTAAGTAGGTTTTACAAGTAGTGGATGTCTCCTTTTAGTGAAATGAAGTCAAGGCCCATGTCTATTTGTACCTTTGCTAATTTATGAAGGTTGAAGACCTCTATGAAGCTGCATGATTAAGTGAGATTCTCAATTGGGAGAATGCTCGCCATGCTCAAAACCTTTTGTTGGGAAAGTAATCATTAAGATGTGGGATTTGATTACCTATATTGAACTTGATGAGTTAAATCGAAATAAGGATTTAGGTATGGTCAGTCTGACACAACTTAACAAGCTAAACTTAAAATAAGAATTTAGGTTTTAGTAACCCACACCAAGCTTGAGATTGGATTAATCTGGAATAAGTATTTATATTTTGATCATCCACACCAAGCTCTGGGATAAAGTGTATTTAAGTTTTGATGACCTGGACAAGGCTCAGAAGGAGAGTTATACTTGGATAAGGATTTACTATAGTCTTATGCTTGCATAAGGAATTTTTTGAAGGAGGCATTTTAATGACTGGTTGGGAGCTTATTAGAGCATCAACTACAAGCTTGACTTTACTTGGAGGTTTGATGCTTTTTTAATTCATGCATGAAATTGTTGAACCAATTAGAATTTATTTTTGTTTAGGCTATATGAAGGTTATTGAATCAAAGAGCTAAGAAGACTAGTTTTATCAGTATGTGGAAGTAGACTAATGGCTTCATTGGATCTTCATTTAACTTCATGGAATATACAAACCTTGAAATTCTTCTTAACATCCTTTGGTAATTTAAAAGTAGTTGACCTCATGTATGTGCTATGACATATACATTATGTAGTGTTAATTATATATATAACAATATTGTACAATTATGTTTTTAATGTACTACATTATTATATATGTTAAACTATATAACATATTATATTATCATAACTATTATAAAGTAAATCATAACTACACTATAATCATTTGATGCATGCAACGGAAAGTGGTCGGTAATTCTATTATGACTATAATATGAAGTTTGAGAAGCAACTATGAGGGTAGACAATTAATGAAATCTACAATTAAATGTTTATAGCTCACACCTTATTTGTAGGCACGAAATACTTGAATTGGTCATTGGCCTTGCTCATCGATCATTCCTTGCAGCGAAGTCTTTGCCTAATGCCAATGCTACAGTGTCCCTTATTTTTAAGTCTAACACCCCTCTTATTGAGATTGGCAAGGAGATAGATGTTAACATGTTTAGTTGATCGATTAAAGACATTAGGTCCCCTTTACAGTTCTTGTTTTTTTGTGTGCTCTACTTCTTCTCGGCTTCTAACACTTGGACTAATTCTACCAATGTCCACCTATCGTGACTTTTGGTTTTTTACACATTATTTGCTAACTCTGATTTGTTGAGTCAAAGAGCGGATTAGATGCACGTCTTAGACCAATCAATCACTTAGGAATTTCCAGTGTGTTGCCAAGATTGCTATTGTTTCAACTCACGTTGGCACCCCCTTTTCCTTAGGCGGTGAGTTAGCTCAACTCATCAGCTTCCTTGATCTGTTGGATCTTAATTTTTTAGGTCAGTTATCCTACCATTGAGCCCACAGATGCAGTCATTGGTTCATTTCGGTGTCGTCCTAGGGTGTGACCATTGTTCAATCTCGTCGGATTTCTTGCCCTCGAGTCTATGGGTGACCCATTTATTGGATCATGCATTGCAGTACGGAAAATTTTAAGTGCTTTTACATCCTCTTAGACCATGTTTTGCTTTTCACATGCAGTTATTAGCGGCTATCACTGGATCTCAAAAGATTTCTGTGCCTATGACAATAGTGGTATCTGGTATTGCAAAGATGTTTGTTGGGGAGCTGGTGGAGACAGGCAAGTTATAGTCTTCTATGTTTTTTCTCCTCATTTTAGTTCATTTGTACGAAAATTGCTGCATTGTGCAACACTTCGACCATGGCTCATGTTCTAAAAGCTAGATTTTTTCTGCACGAAGCATTATCTTTCAAGGGTCTTCTGCACTACCGCAGCTGGCCACGCTAATTTCAGGGCTGGATATTGTTCATAAATATCTTAAATGCTGATTTTTTCGTTATGTCTAAGGCTTTATTTGAGATGACTTTCTTATTGCTTCTTAAAACAACTTTCTAGTACAAAGATTTTAATTATTAAACTAAAAAGCTGCTTTAAGAAACAACAAAAAAGCCGTCCCAAACGAAGCCTGAAGCTACGTTGAATTAAACATTTTAAAGTTAAATTGAGAAGCGGGGCTTGAAGCAGTGCTTTCTTGCTTCCATTGTGCTTTAGACTTCTCAGGCTCGGTCACTATAACAATCTCACTGCAAATGCAGAGATAGTGGAATATTATTTTTGTATATCAACACCTTTTTAGACATCGCATTGATAAGAAACTGACAAAGTTCAACTTGTAAAACTAGTGGTTATGGAAATATCATTGATATGCAAGTTAACAAATTAATTTCATCCAATCACTGACTAAAATTTTCAATTTTCGTTCCATTCTCTGATCATTGTTAAATCAATTTCAGGTAGAATAGTTATGAGAGAAAGGAAGGAAAGTGGACCCATTAGGCCTTGCCACATTAGAGAGGCGTGCAGAAGACTTAAGCTCGAAGGAAAAGTACCAAGAAGATCAGTTAGAAGGCTCTTCCGTTGAAAAAATGATTTACTTTTGTTATCATGTAGCTTTTGCCTACTAATTTCTAGTACTACGTAAATTCTTTCACATATACAGATTTTAAATTTTCTTTTTTGTTGTTTTTCTGGTTTATCAAAATCAATCGAAGTGATTAGAAAGAGGTTGAACCTACAATACCAAAGTTACCTGAACCGGATCAAAGAATGATGGATTGGATTAGGTTTTTATTTTCAGTTTTAATGGTGCATTAAAATTTGAGATATGGCTTTTATTTAATCATATCCTTTGAGCTAGTTCTACATGTCTTTCTTAATGTGCTAGAAAGACAGCAATGCCTATATAGATTGTGTTTTTGTATACTTTTGCTGTGGACTACATGATTTCGTTCAGAACTTGCGACCATTGATCACCTAAGATTGCTGCTGATTTGTCTTGTTGATATGATTGTATTTGCTTATTCTTACCCGCTTCAATCTTCACATTTTTTAATTTTGTACTAAAATTCCGTTTTAGAAAGCAATAAAAAAATCGTCCCAAACGAAGCCTTAGTCTCATATCAATCATGAGTTGAATCCTCATCCTACACATTGATACCTATCATGTTGTACAAAGCTTAATATTGAGATATCAAACTCCAATACAGTCACTAAGTGATGGAACAAATGAATGATTGACCCCTCCAACATGCTTATAAATTATGTAATTAAGAATGTCCATCATAATATAATTAGAAAAGAAATTCATTTTTTGGGCCACTCAAATTAACATTTATTTAATATCATCTCTATTTGTATAGCATAACAAGTATTTGACATTATTTCACGATATTGTGAAGTCTTCTTATGAATGATAGACTATGTGAACACCTGCACTTACGATAAAATGATTTTGTGTGCAAAGAATTGCTGAAAGGGCTGTTGGTTGAAGTTATGAGTTATATTTTGAAAATAACGAAATTTAGAAAATTCATCATTTTTTAAGGATGAAGTGAGATACGAACGTCGATTTTAAACTCCAAGAACCTTTGAAACTCTCTCAGTAAAATCATTTCTATCTAAAGATAGCGAAATGATAGCTCATAGAAATATATATATATATATATAATAGATCGAATATTATTTTATATATTGTATAAAATTAAAATGGATAATTTTATACAAATTTTTTATTTTTTAAATATTTTTGCAATTTAGTATTTTTCTATATTTCTTTATTTGGGTACCTATGTTTAGGAGAATTGGGCTTCATTTAGGATGGCTTTCTTTCTGCTTCTTAAAATAGCTTTTAGCATAAAAAATAAAATACTAGAAAGCTGCTTTTAGATGGAATAATAAAGCTGTTCCAAATAAAACCTAAATGTTTGATATTGTGTGGGTTCTCTCAAATTTAATTTATTTTTTATTTATCAATTATGAAAATATCAGATTATCGCTTATGAGAGTCTTAGACAAGGGAAGTTTAGGCTTTATCTACTTGGTGATTGAAATTATTAGGTTTAGCATGGCCATCACATAATGTTCACATGATTTTCTCTTCATCTCCCCTCTACAATTTATGATCATCTTCTTTGTTGCGAATCTATGGCATATGATTTTGATGATAGCAAACATTCTTTTTTCTCTACAACTGCCTTATCTACTGACATTTCAGGTTCAAGATTGAGTAGACTAGGTCTGAGTCAGTTTGTACCATTTTTCCTTTCTTGAGTCTATTGTATTTGGTGTGGCTCCTGATGCTTTGTAACTTGGAAGATTTCTGACTGTTCCCTAGAGTTTACTGTTTTTAGTAACATCGTCCGGGACGATTTATATTGTCCTAGACGATCAGTTCAAAACCAGAAACCCTAATTAGGGCATCCTCATTAAAGCAGCCGTCATCATGCAAAACACATCGTCCTGGACGATTTTGTATCGGCCAGGACAAAAGGCTCAAAACAGAAAGAATATGCCGCCAGATCTATTTAAGAATTATTTATTTTTAGATATTGTCCCGGTGGATCGTCCAAGACTATAAAATATCGTCCAGGATGATCCAGGGCAATTTTTCAAAAATTTCTATGGAATTTAAGGAAACCAATTATGACTTTATTTCACGGTCAAATCGTCCTGGACGATCGCAAAATCATCCAGGACGATATGCTGGACGATTTGACATCAGATAGCTGTTTTTCAGGGCGATGTTCATGACGATATTCAATGATTTATACTGATCGTCCAAGATGATATATTATCGTCCAGGACGATATGAACAAATTTCTTATGATCGTCCCAAATCGTCCCGGGCTATTGAGCTTAATTTGTACTAATCGGCCAGGACGATAAAGTCGGCAACTCGCATTAATGAACCCGTTTTGAGATCTTCTATTTAAGCTATGACATGACACTTTGTAAGTGTCTTTGGCAACCATTGTAGCTTCGTTCTTGTGGGAGAGACTTGAAGAGAGAGCTTGAAAGGGAGTGAGGAACAGGTGAAGTATGAGAGGGAGAAGATCCTGTGAGGGGGGACTCAAGGGAGTGTGGAGGGGATTCCACACGGTTGCTCCGGCAGGCTTGCACCTTAATACCGTCGGATTCAAGGCTTGTCTTGAGGGAAGTTCACCAAAGAAGAAGTTCACTTTGGTGTCAAAGGACCCGTCGACTCCGCCGCATCGGAGAAGGTGGAAGTGATTTTGTAAGGGCTTCTTTGCCTAGCTGTGGGGGTTAAAGGAGAGACACTTAGTTTGGTGCAATACTTGGAGGGTGTGGGCTCCAAAAAATTTCATTTAGATGTGTGATCCCGGCCTCTCCACGCCATCCGTCTATTTTTCTTTTAAAATGTTTGTGAGACGATGACGATAGAGAGTTTTAACGAGATTAGGTTCCGGGGGAATTTTCAGAAGGCAGATTGAGTTTTAGATAAGACACTACCCAGAGATTTCGCCTTCATTTGGTGAGGACTTTTTGATCTGAGTTCTGGTTTCCTATAGGCGCAAGCCCCTATAGTTAATTACCCCTCCCAATAATAGGAGAGAACTTTCGATGAAGGCTAGTCGTAAAAGAGGTCAAATAAGTTATAAACCTTTAGTATAATAGCAATAATTTTAGGGTTTAAATTTTAGATTTAAATTTTTTTTATGATTTGAAATTTATCACTATAAACTTAAAACTGATGGTGGGGGGAATGAAGACGAGCCCGATAAAGATCCCATGGTTCCGTCGTCCCAGGCTGTCATGATCCCTGGTCTACTTAGTCAGAGGAGGTAGTCGACCCAACCTGACAGAAGGCACCTTGTCGGCAGCCATGGGTTGCTTCGTCCAAGAATACCTTGTAGACCTGAGTTGATATTTGTCTAAGGGGATATATCTGAATTCACCTTAGCTCATAAAGGGCTTTATGCCTATCGAATATACCCTATGATCCATCGCTCAAGGGTTTGACGCCTTTAGGGAACATACGGGCTTTGGCCGTGATCGTAATATAATGGCGCCATTTTGCGGCAAAATCACCCGATTAGAGGGCACGTGCCACGCCCCTGTTGGAAATAGACTATTTAAGGATGAATCGTAGTGATACACCCAACATACATTAGCTCTTTGTGAGCTGAGATTAATTTCAAATTTATCACCACCGACAAACGGCTGCGAGAGGTGGATGATTTTTAGTTCTGAGTTTTTAGGTGATTAATTTTATTTCAAGAATTTGGATTGTTGTTTGATTTGAGATTTAACCCCTTTGGTTGAGATTTCCAGTCAACACGGCCATCATTGGGGTGGCATTAAGGTCACTTATATTTTTGTAGGATTTTGGAAGACATTTTATTATTCAAGTCGTGTCAACTCCGGTCCTTTCAAGGAGGAGGATGAAACTTGAATATTAGACCCGCGCAGCATTCTCGAATCATTGGATTTGGGACTTAGATGTAACGATTAGAGCACATGCGGGTTGTAGCATTTGACCCTATGCAACATTCTCGACGATTTGAGTTTGTAACTTTAATATTTCTATCGGAGCACATGCAGGGATGTATTTAGTTCAATGGATCATATTTAATATATAAGGGACATTTTAAAATATTTAAATATGATACATTGCGCAAGTGATTTTACTTAGAAAATAGCCCGGGATTTCATTTGAGGGCTTACGAACGCCTTCTGTCTGCTTGTACACATGTTGCGGATCTGGTGGCGTGTAAGTGGTATTAAATTTAACTTATTGCATTTAGTTTATTTTGACTCCTCTAAGCGTCAATTAGCACAGCTCGTAGAAGGTGTTTGCTCAATCAGTACAATTATATCATGCTCGTACTTGTAGGAGAACTGTCTTGTTTTCTACAAATTCCTTTATCCTCCCTCGTAGGTGGATTGATTCATTCAATACAAGCTCTTTTGTCTTTGCTTGTAGGCTAGTTGTTGTGGGCACTACGAATTCCCTATTTCTTCTCATAGGTGAATTGTAGCATGACTTTAGCCAATCCTTTTATTGATTGTTCATTTGTTAAAATTTTGGTTCCATTCGAGCTCGAGTCCTTTCCATTTGATTCAGATTAAGTTCAAGTATAAATCTTCGTTGATCATTCAAGTCAAGTCAACTCAAGTTAAAATCAATTGTTGGTTGATTTTATTTCAAAAATTTGGATTTTTGTTTAACTTAGTTAAATTAATTAAGAGACTTAATGTTGAATTAAAATATCATAGTTAATTTAAAAGTTTAAATTTAATTAATTATTCCAAGTTGTTTTTCCAATCTTCCCAAAATTTGGCTAAGTCCTGAATTTCTGTGTAAATTTTGGCAGCCTTCCGGCGTCCCCTCCCCGATGCCGGGAGGTAAGAGAGTGTCTCAACTCGACCGGATCAAATCGACGGCGAGGAGATTTGGTCTTCAGAAGCTTTGATGATCGTTGTTTGCAAATCGAACGGTTACCACTGTTTGGATGGAGATCGTAGTTGATTATTAATTGATTAAATAAAATTTAATTAAAATTAAATTTTATTTTAATAATTAATTAATTATTTATTTTCAAATTAGGTTAATGCATATTTCTCTAATTTTTAGAAATTTGGCTAAGTCCCAAATTTTTCAGAAAATTTCGCCAGCCTTTTGGCGTCCCCTCCCCGATGCCAGGAGGTAAAGAGTGGCTCGACTCGGCCGGAGCGAATCAATGGAGAGGAGATTTGGGAGAGCGAATCAATCCCATAAAAGAGTCTTCAAGTCTTCTAATGTGGGCGATCTTATAATATTATAATATAATATATAATATATAAATCATAATATTATATATATTATATACTTATAACATAATA